GGGGCCAGGCCCGGCCGCGGGTGCCGGCTACGGCGGCGGGGAGGGAGGGAGGGGGGGGGCTCTAGAGGAGGGGGCGCTGGAGCGCGGCCGGTCGCCCGCGGGGACGACGCGATCGCGCGAGAGGAAAAAGCCTGTCCCGGCCGCTAGTTTATCAGTCAGACCACTATCTAGTCTCTAGGATAAACAATGAAGGCAAATTCCAAAGAGGATAGTTCAATCATTTTGTTCGATGCTCTCGTTGCTCTCGTTTACAATTCAACAGCTTGAACCATACATTTTTTAACTTGACCATATTTGCCTGCTGTAACTTTTTTTAGATCAGATTTGCTTAACTTTAAAATGTGACAACGTAGCGAAAAGGAAAAAAGTTCATTTTAAACCTTGAACTTGTAGAGGTTGGGCGAAATGAACCATCAAGTCAAAATCCCGGTCGATTGCATCCTGAACTCTGCAATCCCGGTCTAAATCAAACCCTGGCATCATTTGAACTGGGATTCGTCTAGTGGGCCGGCCCGATAAATTATATTTACGTTCATTAACAAAAATTCCTAAAAGCGCACACCTTTTTTTTAGCACGCTGGGGAGCTCCGCGTGCGTCCAATGTCTACCCTTCGCTGAAGAAGGGGCGCGCAAAACGGGCCGGCCCATTAGCATGCCTCAAGCGGATGTAAAAAATCACGAAAAAGTAATAGCGAGAAGCATGGGACTCGAACTCCCGACCCCAACACGAATAGAAACGTGAACGGCCAGTCGTCCGAGAAAATACCTGCGACTAAAACGCAGCGCTAACAATAAAGTACTGTGACGGATCCTTTTTTTTCAATTTGCGAAACATTTATTGGAAAAAGGTATTAACATATTTTCTGAAAAATGCGAATATTGTTTAATAATGAAACCAATTCCGAATTCCAAACAATCTTTATGAACAGTGAACTTTTTTGAAATGAATGCAAAATACAAACTGAACATTTTGTTGGTATACAGTGAAAATGTTCAAAATATACACTGAACATTTTTGAAAAAATGTGGTGAACATTTTTTTCAAATGCAATCTGAACAATTTTTCTATACACGATAACATTTTTCAATGTACATTGCACATTTTTTCACTGCGGTGAACTTTTTTTTTGAAATGCAATCTGAACAATTTTTCTATACGTGATGAACATTTTTGTGTACACAGGGAACATTTTTTCAATGTACGTTGCACATTTTTTCACTGCGGTGAACTTTTTTGAAAAGTGTGCAAAATTTGAAAAAGTGAAAAATATTGAATTCATAGAAGATTTTTTTTGAATTTCAAACATTTTTCCAAAATATACAGCGAACATTTTGGAACTTTTCTGTAATATAGCGTGAACATTCCTAAATATACAATGAACATTTTTGTAACACGCAATGAACTTTGTATAACATAAGGAAAAAGAAAAAAGTAATCATAAAAAGGAAAAATAAAATAATATAAATATAAGTAGAAAAAGAAAAATAAAAGAAAAAGAAATAAGAACCAGAAAAGAAAAAGCGAAATAAAAGACAAATAACAAACGAAAAACAGAAGCAACAACGTGCAGCATGCGCTGCCGTGAACTGGGCCGGCCCACCCGCGGGCGCTGCGGGCGTTTCCTCCCTAATCCCGTTCATTCTTTGGCATGTCAGCAATCCCGGTTTGGCAAATGATGCGAAGGTTTGATTTAGACCGGGATTGCAGAGTTCAGGGTGCAATCTATCGGAATTTTGACTTAAGGGTTCATTCCGCCCAACCTCTACAAGTTTAAGGTTTAAAATAGATTTTTTCCGGCGAAAAGTGTGGGCAGGAGTTTCACCTGAAACTGACCGTGGTCGAACCCACTTCGACCGACCCGCCATTCCTCCACGGTCGCATTCCCTCGTGGCCGGCGCACCGCGCTCCCAGCAGAAATGGCGTTCGCCGCGGCTGCGCGGAGAAGCCTCGCCTCGCCTAGCATCTCCGATTGCCTCTTCCGCCGCTTCCATCCGGCGCTCCCTCAACTGCTCCCATCCAACTCCATCGGCGATCCCCGGAAGCCCTCGCCCCTTCCTCTCCCACCCGCACCCCGTCCGCTGCGTTTCGCGTTCTCCCCTTGCGGGACAGCTCAAACCCTAAACCTCCTCCCATTCGGCATCCACCTCCTCGCAGGGCCACCCCGCCGCAGCTTCTCCTCCTCCTCCCGCGACATTGACTTCGCCGACGCCCTCACCGGCGCCGCCGATGCCTGGCCGCCCGTGGCTGCCCCGGTGAGCTTCCCCAGTGAGGTGGCGTTGGCCGCGGTGGACTCGTCGATTGCCGTCGCGGCGGTGCAGCATCTCATCGACGCGGTCCATTCCTTCACTGGTCTGAACTGGTTAGGGTTTAGGGGTTTGAGGATTTTTTGCCCTTCACCGTGTCGTTGGAATTGTCTCTGGCTTACATCATGTTCCTCGTGTATCTTTTTGCACTGCAGGTGGATTTCCATTGCTCTCTCCACTGTGCTCTTACGGTCTGTGTCGTGCCCATTGTGGATGCTTGCCAGGAAACGAGTATATGTAAGATCTTGCTATGGATTGTTGCTTCGGTTTATTTTTGTTCCCAATCATAACATCTTATCTTGTATTGTAGTAGCTGCATCACCCAATTAGTCATAAGCTACTCCCCCCGTTCACTATTACTAAGATAGTCCAACTTTTTTCTAAATCGAATGTATGTAGACATGTTTTAGTGTGTTTATTCACTCATTTCAGTCCGTATGTAGTCCATATTGAAATATCCAAAACATCTTATAATAGTGAACAGAGGAAGTAGATATTATATCATCATTTGTTCATGATAATGAAACAAACTTTATGCATGAAAACTTGCTATTCATTGGATGGAGTTAAATAATCTTTCATCCAGAAACTACAAAGTGACAGGTTTAGGCTGTAAACTGCACCCTTCTTCAGACCCACAACCACAAGGAAACAATTCAAAATATCCATGTTCGTTACACTTATTTTGGGCGCTGTAAGCAAATAGGTAGTACCTTTTATAGTCAGTAGTTGCATGTACCCAGTTAGTCATGAGTTAGATATTAAACTAACTTTCTGCAGGCAAAGTTGAGATTCTTTGCACGGAGTTACTTCCATACAACAACTACAAATTGGTAGGTTTAGTCTGTGAACAACACCTTTTTGTGGACCCACATGGCCACACAACACTTTGTACCACATATCAGCAAATATGCAATATCCATGAGTAAATGTGTGCTCTGAATGCAATATCCCTGAGTAAGTGTGAATGGAATATCCATAAGTAAATGTCTGTTAGGCAGATCCAAGTAAATGAACTGATTGGATGTTAACTTTTCAATGCCCTGTTTTTTGAGTGTGAGAATTTTTCCAGTATCCTGTAGGATAACAGTTGTTCTGTATGAAGCTCTTGCAGAACTCATTTTTATTGCAAAAATGCCTTAACCTGTTACAGAACCAACTCAGAAAAGTATAACTGTTGTATATTGTGAAGAATATGTTTTGACCACAGGCTTAAACCCTGCCCCTTTTCATGCTTCAAATTTACATAGGAGATGTGTCAGGACATGCAACAAACCAGCAAGTTGGTAAATAATGTAAGCATTCTAACATTATTCATGATTCCTGCAACAAGCAAAGTGAAACACTCTTAGATTTTTGAGTATTCCTAGTGTACTGTATAACCTGCATATTATGTAGTCAAGAAAAGAAAGTTAATTGTATGCAATCATTTGCCGCAGGCTAAGGACGATGCATCAAGAGAAGAAGCTGAGCGTGCAGCATGGTCTTCACTCAAAAAGTATGCAATATGCTTACTTATGTTTATATCTTGACACTATAAAGCGTGTTCCGACAGTGTTAGCGCTATGCTTACTTATGTTTATATCTTGACACTATAAAGTGTGTTCCGACAGTGTTAGCGCTATGCTTACTTATGTTTATATTTTGACACTATAAAGTGTGTTCCGACAGTGTTAGCGCTAATGTTTTCTTTCTGAAAAAAATGTCCTTTATGTTTTAACTTTTAAGTAGTTCTTGCTGGATGAAATAAGAGATATGGGGGATGTTTAATCTTAACATGGAAGAGAGAAGATAAAATCGTGTGTTTCCCCTATGATTTTTCCTTTCAAGCGTTTAACCATGACAAGATGTGTTTAGAAGTGAAGTCGTTTGGAAAGTGATGTTAGATTGTTTCATCTGAGAATCAAAACGATTTTAGTTAAAGGGCATGACTTGTTTCCAGGGTAGATAGTTTAAGTTTTTTATGCGGTTTCAATAGCCTTTTTTTAATCAGGAATGAACGATCCATGTCAAAAGCACGATCTTATGAACTTGTTATTTTTGCACTAAGCATTTATGCATTACACAAAGGGAAAACATGCATGTACACTCTGTGGCATATGTTGTGCACCAGATTCTTAAATTGGCACTTATTGTAGTTATGTAGGTGGTTATCAGTCATCAGCATAGCAAACGGTGGCCGATCACAGGGCTTGCTACTCTAACCAGCTAACTTTCTGCACATCATGTGCAAGAAGCGGCGACAATGGAGCTAATCTTGCCCAAGTTAACACACATTATACCATGAGTGCATGTTTCAGTCATGGGCAGGGACAGTCCCACACACTTGCATATATATTTTTGGATAAATTAGAAAAGTTTTGTGTCTTGATTAAATGATATATAGAAACAACCTATGTACACCAGGCCTACAAATAGGCCAAAACGGCAACATCGTATGTGCACCCCCAAGAAAACTAAGCTCTGCTGGCAGTAACGCCTGTAGGCCAGTTGCCCCTGCCTTAGCCCAGAATCCTGACTCCGCACGTCCTGACGAGCAGCGTAGCGATATCAGGTCTATAAGTCTTGCTGTTTAAGACGACAGCGTTTCACTGCTTCCAAATCCACCATTCTGTGAGCATTATCAACGAGGATAAACAACATGGTTCCCTACCATCCGATGGATCCTCGAGAGGTGAGCCACCCAATCGAGATAAGATAGTTGATACTACATCAGCACAGGTTTTGTTTAATCATTGTATTGCACATTGTTTCGACTGCACGCTGCTACCACCGTTCAGGAAACAGCATCCAACAGAGGGCGGTTACAATATGCATAGGCATACAAAATGCAGGAATAGTGTCAGAGTGAAAACTGATCATTTTCAGTGTGTGTCGCCAGTGGAGCTAACACCAGCATGCATGACCTTCTCTCCCTTCCCTATCGCAGTAGCTCAGCTGAAGGTTTATATCTGCATGTTATTATTCTTCATGTTGGAGCTAGCGTTTGAGGCTACCACTATAAGCTTTGGTTTTAATACTACAAGTTTCTAAATATCGGTCCATACACTCAGTTTGATACCGATTTGGCACATCCTTTTGTATTTTTGTTTTCAGACATGTTGGCTTATACAGACCGACCTTTTATCTTGTATTTATATAGAAGACAAGGATTCTTGTTAAGAAAATGTTGAGAATAAAATTACACATGTATAACTTCATCAAATTATTGCATCATTTGCATGGAGGCACATACTTTTTTGATGGAAACAAATGCATATATATATGTGTGTGTGTGTGTGTGTGTGTATAATGTATTTATATACCTTTTATGTCATATTAAACTATTGTTTCTTTCTTTCTTTTGTAGTTCTATAGTGTCCATAGTCCATACCACCAGCCAGTTGGGTCACTTTTGCTGGACAGTTTAGTAAATATAGTTGATTATATCTCCTATTTGCTATGAAAATATAGGCATGTACATGCATATCTGAATTCTGAAGTGCAAACTATAATGCCAACTCTCTCACTTCTAACTTTGCATTAATAATCCTATGGTGCTGTGGTGTGTTGCCTAGCCCTAACTAAAATAATTATAATTTATGCTGCTATGTAGCTTTTCTGGCATTTCCCTTTCCAAATTATTGCCGATCTCTTCGCTTTCTTATTGTATTGAGCTAAATTCCCTTTGGCTAACAAATTTAACCTTATATGCTATAAACAACAAAATTTCTTTTGCTCCTACTTATTGTTATAGGGAGCTTTGCATGGATTTCTCCAAGATCTAAATGCTTGCCTTTGTTCACACAGGTTAGGTCTTGCGTTATATCTTCCACTAATTGTGACACCGTATACCTTGATAACTCTTCACATCGCTGTAAGTTGACACCACGTGCTTCCTTCTGTTTGGCTAACTTTTGGTACCTCCCGTTACCACTACAATCATCTTCACCGTTTCCATTTTCACAGACTATTTCATTCTTCTATCATGCTTCTAGATATCAAACATGGTTGGCAATGTCCCATCTTTAAAAGGGGGTGGAGCATTCTGGTTTACTGATCTGACAACCCCTGATGCTCTTTGCATCTTTCCCATGATAACATCACTGTTCATCATGCTTACCTCAGAGGTATGCTCACAGTTCCTTCAGATCTAAATATATTTTTGTTCTTGTGCTATAAATTTCGAGATCGCATTGATTGCTTGCTTTGAATATTTGCTCATTTTATTTTATTTAGGTTGTCAATGCTCCCACAGTAAACTGTTCGCATAAGATATTTTGTTGTTTTAAGTTTAAACCATAAAAAAAATTCTACCTCCGTTTCAAAATAATTGAAGTTCTGGGTTTGCCTTAATTCAGACTCGTTGAAGTTTGACCAAGGCTATAGAAAAATATATTAACATTTTTTGAACACCAAATTAGTCTCATTATATTCTTTATGAAATATTTATTGTTCTATGTGCATCATTTTTCTATAGAGTTGGTGAAGGGGAGCCTTGGCGCAGCGTTAAAACTGTTGCCTTGTGCCCATGAGGTCACGGGTTCGAGTTCTGGAAACAGCCTCTTGCAGAAATGTAGGGAAAGGCTGCGTACTATAGACCAAAAGTGGTTGGACCCTTCCCCGGACCCTGCGCAAGCGGGAACTACATGCACCGGGCTGCCCTTTTCTGTAGAATTGGTCTAACTTAAGCAAGTTTGACTAATGGAAAATGTAGAATTTCAATTATTTTGGAACGGAGGTAGTACTTATGAGTAATGCCAGTGGTGTTTGCTGAGCGAACAAAGCTGAAGTGTAGATGGAGAACATCATTAATAGTTTCTTCCTCTTTGTTCTGTGTGTCTGCTTACTTAAGTTCTGTTTATGAATAAATATACACCCTCTGTTCAATAATTTTGTCGTGGTTTTAATTCAAATTTGAACTAAAATTTAGTTTTTTTACTTTAGCTTTTTGGCAATACTATGCTGTTTCTGCATGTATTAACATTAGATCTTGGAAATTTTATTTTAATGCACACGGGCGATCTTTCTTTACCATTTGAAGAATTGAAAGCTCCCCAGGGGCACATTTATGAGTGAAGATCCACTAGTGTAGCGTGGTGTTTCTTACAAATAGCACTCAATTCATATTAGTTAGCAATCTGTTGTCTTCAGTTGTCTGTGCATTGGTTGTTGATCATTTGGAGCGACTGTAATTGAATCAAGACACATGTTGTTTGTCATGGGCACATGAATTATGACCTATCTGCACTTCAGCAGTGAACAATCTAGTTCTTAAGAATCCTTGAAACCTTTACAAAGTTTCATGTTTTATGCACAAGTCCTGCATTTTGGTATGTGCAATTGATTTAATCTGCAATCTAGAGTATTTTGGCGATTTAATGCATGTATCTAGTTGTTTGGGCTGAAATCTCTTTTTCTTTAAAACTTGTTTGACGTGAACCTTGAAGGTTTTTACCTACAGTCCTCATCTACTGTGCCATCAATCCATCCATTACTTCCCTTACTTTTAAGTTTGTGTATGCTGTATTGTTTAATTTCTCTGTGCACTTTGCTCTGTGTAATTTAGGATGTGTAAATAACACTCAGATGTCAGTTTGCACCGCCGAACTCTGCTAATTTGACGCCTTTTTTTGTTTATAGCTCTGTCTCTTCATCTTGTTCCTTTTACTTCTTTAAGGCCCCTTTCTTATAATAGTTGATTCATTAATTTTGGGTTGTTGTACGGAAGCCCCCTAAGGCATCCGTGTTTGATAAAATTTCTTTGTCAGATTCAGTGTTAACTGTACTCCCTCCATTTGGAAATGTAAGGCCTCCAGCTTTTTAGGATTTATCTTTGGCCAACATTTAGTTAAACAACGTGTAAAATTACATGATACAGATCGACACTGTTGGATTCATATATGAAATAACTACCCAACAAAATCAATTTTGTATCACATAACATACATATTGTTTTAACTAATTGTTGGTCAAAGATAATTATTGAAACTGAGGATGCCTTACAATTCCAAACAGAGGGATAGCTAATAAGAGTTTTTGGCTTGTAGCTCAAGTACAATGCTTCAAAGAAATGCAAAAAATGCTCTCGCACGATGCACAAAGAAGCAAGGGAAGCTCTGAGAGTAATGTCTCTTCTATCTATGTTGTTGACAGCAACCCTTCCTCAGGTATTGTGGAGTATTTGCCCATCCTTTGAATCTTTTGTTATCAAAACATTGAATATATGATTGAGTTTAAGCTGAACCCTCTAATGCTGAGCTTGGATACGGGTTCTGTGCTCTTAGGATCATATGCAAGGTAAAATCCATAAAGAAACCATAGTGCTTGAGCATGTTAGAATATATATGCATGGAAAAATATTGCTATATGTGCACATTACAAAAAGAGAACATGTCTTTATGTAAAATGCACTCATGATATTATTTTTTCCACTGTGTTTGGGCTTGTACGCATGCTAACATGTTCTAGTAATATAATATGCTTGGGAAATTTTTGAAGTGCACATGTGCACTGTGTCGACAATAGGTGCGTTTGATCTAAGATTATATCTCTATTTCCCATATGTTTTGGTTGGCCTGTGCTTCTCATTTTGTGATGTAATAGGATCATATATCTGGGTTTTATGTTTTTACCGGGTAAAAGTAAAAAGTTAAAAAATACTTCCCCATGTAGTTGTTTTTTTCTTAATACCTTAGAGTTCAGTAACAGAATGAAAGTATACTTGTTCTTCTGATTGTACTTTTGTATTGGATATATGTTCATAAACGATTGACATGTTAATAATATAAATACAGTATGCATCATTGAGCATATTAGCGCAAGAGGGGATCACTATGATTCACTGTTTCTGTGACCATAAGACTATTTTATGGGGGCGGTAGCTTATAGAAAAACATTCAAATTTTCAAGCTCTTGGATGAATTGGCTGGTACATGTATGATGGAATTCATTAGCTCTGCAGTAAAATCTCCAGTTCCATGTAGCTTCTAGGTTTATTACCATGTCAGCAGCTAGCCGGTGAGCTCTTTCTCCAATAAATAGTGCATTACAGAGCATCACTATACTACTAAAAACTACTCCCTCCGTCCCATAATGTAAGACGTTTTTTGACACTGGGACGGAGGGAGTAATTAATATTCCAGACATTCTAAAGTAAAGCACATAAACGTTCTGGGTTTCCCCTTCTTTCTTATGTTAAAGCATCTCCAAATCTATGTCCTGTCCAGGCGATTTCTTGTTCCTTGGTCACCTGGAGTTTTCTAAGTCTTGCAGAAAGGATAGGTGAGCCCTGCATTTTGATTGGTCCATTTTCTTTACAAAAATAAAAAATAAATTTGTTTGGTCGTTTCTCCGTTATACTTGACATATAGAAACACGCTTTGATTGCTTGCAGCTCTCGAGCAGCCAGCTCTGCAGAAAGTACTATATGGCACGCCCTTGAAACAAAGAAGATGTTCTTGTGATGGACAGAAGGGCCCAACTGCTGAAGATGCCCCTTCTGTCAAAGAGCAGGAAGAGCCAGTTTTCCCAGAGACAAAGAAATCTTCTGATGCTCACAGAGACGATTCCGATAAGAAATCGACCAAAGACGGTTAAATGTAGACAATTAATACTTGCCATTTTTTTTTGAGATGAACTACACCACTTACAGGGTAGCAATCTCCTAGTTTTATGCTGGTTCCAGGAGTAGAGAAGCTGGCTACTAGTGGAGACGAATAGATAGCATACTGACGTGTTCATCATGTGCTAGCTTAGGTATGGCGAGATCTCTTGGCCTTCATTGACACCATGTTTTGTAAGAAAGATTTCATCGACACTGATCACATTGTACGTCTTCTCAGTTTCATTGAGAAGGAATTGGGAGGGACAACAATTGATTTTTCAAAACAATGACGACTTGACTGTTTTTTGAAGAAAATAACTGGATATCAAGCCTAGATCTGTCAATTTTATGTTTTTATGAGACCTCTTCCAATGCAAAGGTGCTTGGAAGAGGTGCCAAGTGCATTAAATAAGAGTTAAATATACCATGAGTGCCTTAACTTGTCCTGTGCGGTCCTAAAGTTGTAAAATGCATAAAAGTGGTGCTTGAACTTGTCCGGGCATGCAAATACGTACCATATTCAGTGTATGCCTTGCCCACGTGGCACGCCAGCGTGTCGACGGTCTACATGTCAATGAGTGAGAGCATTTTATTTATGACCAACTCCTTTAATTTTATTTAATTACACATAAATGTATGTCGTTGACCTGTCGTTTGGGGACAGGCCTAGAGGGATTCGATGCCAAGACATCGCATGCACAACATTCACATGTTAACCACTGCACTACACCAAGCATGGCTGCATGTAATTGTTTTTCCTAATACTGGATGTCGTGTGTGTGGTATGCATCCGTGCACATGTCAATGACAATTTATCTGTTTGGTGTTACCATGCAAAAAATATATTTGCTTGGTGCACCTAATTTTTTCACTTGTTGTCGTATTGAGGGAGACTTAGGAAATATGCTAATGCATTTGACATAAAATTGTAAATGTATTTTTGAATGATGTTTGTCATGCATTCAAAAAATTGATAACATGTACTTCAAAAAATATTCAACGTGTATTTAATAATTTATTGCACAAAATTGTTCTTACATTTCTGCAAACACCTTTAACATGTTTTAATACATTTCTAGAATTACTATTATTACACGATAATTTTTTAAACACATTGAACAATTATGTTGTCATTTTTTTGTAATTGTGTATTTTACAAATACAATGAAGATACACAATAATTGTCCGTGTTTGTGGTCCTGCATGAATATACATAAATTTACATAATAATTTTTAATATAAATTGAACTATCTAAATCTACATAAATTTTAGAGTAAGTTCATGTTTACGTCTTCAAAGTACACAATAATAAAAATAGAATAAAGAATTAAACTATGCAATAATTGCCTACTGATAATTCTTGTATTTTTTGTATGATTTTTTTACATATTCTAAATATACTAAACCTAGCTAGGTTTGATTTACCCTATTTTTTTGACTTTTTCTTATCAGTGAAAACTTGAGCAATGAGAGATTGACACGTCAATTAATGGGGAAAATTGTGGGGTAAGCCTTGTGTGCACTTAGCGATCTGTGTCGATGGCGATTGCGGATTGGTTTTCTCTTCTCCTCTTAGTTCCCTCCCCGTGTTGATGCGTCTCTCGAAGACTCGCGTGGGTTCTCTGCCTCCGCCGCCCACCGCTCAACCGCCGATGCACCACCGCTCAACCGCCGTAGCTCCTTATAAATGGCTCCCGCCTCATCACGCAGCGCCCACACGTGCTAGTAGGTCCGGACGAGGTGATGCTGGTGGTTTGCGAGGCCCCCTCGGCGCGGCTTGGTTCGCAGCGGACCGCGAAGCAGAGCCGTGCGGCGATGGCGACGACCAGCACAGGGCACGCGTGACACCGCGACAACAACCACGTGGCCATGGAGGGGCTCACGCAGCGCGCGGCGGTGCGCGGCTGGGCGGACCTCGCGCTGCGGCGGCGGCAGGTGCGTGCTAGCCATGGCCATGAGAGGGGACTTGCGGCGTGACTGCGGCATGAGGCAGCGGGGATCTCCCAACCTCTCCTACCCCCCTCCTGATGTGGGAAACCATGGATTACCGGTTTTTTGCTGAATCTTTAGTCGTGTAGAAACGGCGTCACGGCTGGGACGCGACGGTGCGGCCACCGGCGCCCTGCATCCTCCACAGGTGTCGCATGCTTATGCCCCTGCCCCCTTCCTTCGGCCGTCCAGACCGCCTCCGTCTCAGCCGGTGGATGTCCATATGCCGAATAACGAGTGCGGCGGCGATCACGGTCTGCCCCGCTCCGCCAGTCCTCCGTCACTTCTTCCGCTGGCTTACTACTACTCATGCAGGTGGAGTTCAACATGGAAGAGCTTGCCATGGCCCAAGCATCATTCTGGGCGTAGCTGCCCACCTCCATGTGACGATTGCTCCAACGCAGACCAAGTGTTCGTCGTAATGTCAGAGCGGCCACAGGTAAAAACAAATCAGTTCAGTCCATACATCATGTTGCTATACTTATGAAAACAGTTCCCGAATCCAGGCACCATAGATTATTGCCCTTATTGATGCATTTAGCTACTACTTCTGAACTCTGGATTTGATGGAGGTTTGCATGTTTGTAGTGATGAGGATACACCAGTTCGTGATGAGCTTCGAGGTCTGTGTAGTGCCGGAAGATGGCGACCAGTAGCGGGCGCTCGCGCACTGCTTCTGGGATGACACAACCAAGACTAATAAGGATGAAGATCATGTTCATATTTCCAATGGGTTCGTTCCAGTGGTATGGACGCGGCGAGGCAATTTATTAAGTTTGCAGGAGCAGCCGCTGCGTACTATCCCACACTCTCTGTCGACAGACCACCTTCTTCCACGCCGACGCCGGTCGCCGGGGTACGGTCCCATCCATCGCCATGCAAGAGCGCTCTAATCCCCTAGACAGTACTGCTCACAGCAGTTGCAGGCGCGGACGCATTGCCCTCAGCCGTGGATGCCGCTGTCCCGTACCAAGGATGTGCAGGCATGTTTTAGATTATGATTGTGCAAAGGAATATGTTAGAAAATGACGGTCTGCAATGGTGTACCAAAATACTGAACATCTTCTGATTTTACTGGAAGATTGATGTGGACATTGATGTTATTGCACTGGCAGCTGATTTTTTTCCCTTCACATTTTTGAAGACTGGATTTTCAGCAGCACTGCACTATTAATTAGCTTTCTGCATGTGACTTGTGATTACAGCTGATGAAGCCATCAACCATTGGAGGCACGGGATTGTCGAGCCCAAGGTTCGTCACCCTTGTTTTCTAAAGGGAAGCTAAAGTTGGGGTTGCCAATCTCCGAGGATTTTCTCAACGGTGAGCACTTCCCTTTTGTTTCTCTTCTTCTGATCTTTACCACAAGTCGGCAATAGTCCCTATTGCACTGCTTGGACTGATCTCTCATTTTAGTCACTATTGTTATTTAATATAATAATAAGCCTCTATTTTTTATTCCGCATGCAGTATTGTTTGCTAAACGAACAAGATTTCTAAGTTGTTATATATTAATGTGGTGATAGGTTGAAAAGTTTGATCACTGAGGAATGGGGATTACAGTCACAGATTATTCGGTTATTTCTCTTGCTGGTGCCTCCGCTGAAAGTGATGCATCTATATACAACCATATATATAAGTTTGCCTGTTCAATCAGAAGATTGTATTAGCTATTAAGTCATAGTTCAACCTTCGAATATACAGTTTTGGCTCAGTAGTTTGAGCCTCCGTTGCGCAACTGGATCATGGTAGACATCCAGACCTGCAGCTGTGTTTTATTTTGTTATCCTTTTTAGAAACTGACACGCTGCCTTTGTTGCCTAAATCCGTGCTTTAATTAAATGATAAATTTACTATAAAGATTTTTTCTTTGACTCTTATATGAAAAAATTGTACGAACATGTGATCGCTATCCAGATTAGTCAGGTCATCCTGCAAATAACTGTGGGATACATTACTGACACTTACTCAATCATTGTAGTGAAATAATACAAGATGGTGAACACCTCGGATGCAGCTCAAAGATCAAATATCATGATATAGAGTAGGCATTAAACCTACCTTATCTACTTAATTTTTTGTTGCAGACTAATCATCTATCTTATCTGTACATGGCTGATTAGGAAGTAGTACAGTACCCGCAAGTTTAATAGTTATCAGATTGTTTCTGTACATAGTTGATTTGTGTACTAAGACGGGAGGCCAAGTTGTTCAATTTGTGGATTTGATTTATTCAGACTGGTGGCATTCCTTAATTTCTGATTCCTGTTTATGTTTGGTTTTGAGCTGGAAATTATTTATTCTGGCACATCTAACTGCTGCTTCTTTTGCCTAGCCTCCTTTCAATGAAATATTTCCAGTCAGTAGACTATACTTGCTATTCCAAGCACATATAGGCCTAGGGTTGTCCACTAAGAGAAGGTGCAACAAATTCACTTGGTTTGTGAATATCTTTGGGGTTTGTATTAATATGAGCTAGCAACTTTTCATATATATATGCCAGGTTGTCTTCAAGCCATAGAAGCACCATTGAGCCCTGGAGCTGTGGCGACAGCGCCGTACCAGCCACCGTCGTCCTCTTCCATGCCCTGGCCATCCAGGAGGAGTGCCACGGCTATCGCAGTTCTCCCCATGGCATCCCGGATGGCATCCTCCGGGATGTTGATCGTGTCCTTGCACCGGCGGCAGCCGGAGCCTGGTACGTCCAGAGAGGCATGGCCTTGGATTGGAGCATTGCAGGCATCGATCCACTTCGTGGTAGCCATGGGGTAGGGTGGCGTAGAGCTCAGCCGCGTGAGCTGCAGTTCACCAGTTCATTCCTCACCTGTAAGCCTAGCAAGAAGGAAAATGGTTTGTGCTATATATACGACTGAACTGGACAATTGCATAGAATGTAGATATTTGCACATCTGATTTCTTTTGTGTAGTCTGGGTACTCTTCCCCATGGTGTTAAAAATATATATGTTTGTGAGGTTGTATGACTTACGTGATTTTGTAACACACT